GGGGGCGGGCGGCGGCCCCGAACTTCGGAAAAGATTCGGGCGCAGATTTGTACTGCAGGGAAGAAATACGAAGCTTCAGGTGAATTTAATTTTCCACGCCATGGTAATGATAACCATAATATAAGTGCCTTTAACTTTCGTAAAGCTTACAATGATATCCTATTAACTGATTGGTCATTATTATCAACTCTTTCTTCTGTAGATCTGATGGTTGATTGTTTTTATAATATCCTGTTCAATTTATTCCGTAAACATGTACCTGTCTTTCGGTCAAAAAAGCGGCATTACCCGCCATGGTTCAATAGGGAAATAATAAATAATATTAAATTTAAATTCCGATACCTTAAGAAATCTACATTCTTATTTACTGAAATTTAAAGAAATTAGGTCCCTTTTAAAGAAGCAAATAAATACTGCTTATAAATTGTATATTAACAACATTCAAATTAACATACATCATGATCCTAAGCAATTCTGGGGTTACATTAATGCTAAAAAAGGTAAAACTAGAATTCCAGGCCAAATGTCATTTGGTATAAACAAGTTTGAAAATCCTATGGAAATAGTAAATGCCTTTAGTGATTTCTTTAGATCCGCCTATACTAAATCTGATCCGCTTGATGAATATTATTTAGCTGATACTGTAAATTCTACCTCATGTGTTGTAAATATATTTAAGATCACGGAAGATGATATAATAAAAGCCATCACAAGATTGAAACCAGGTATGACATCAGGTTCAGATCAGATTCCAAGTTTCATAATTAAGGACTGTAAGTTTCAAATTGCTAAGCCACTCCTACTAATTTTTAATAAATCCCTTGAAACAGGAGTTTTTCCTAATAAATGGAAAGAATCTAAGATCTGTCCTGTCTTGAAGTCCGGTGATGCATCTAAAATTGAAAATTATAGACCAATCTCCCTGCTTTCTAATTTTGCTAAAATTTTTGAATTAAGGTGATGTTATCGGTTTAGTTTTCAGTGAATTTACAGTAGATTTTGTTTCACAAATACTAGACAACTAGTTGGAATCTGAACCCAATTTTTTTTTTTACAATATCTTTGATATGCTATTAGTGTCCGGAACTTATAAAATTGGAGAAAAAATGACCTGTTTTGCTCTAATAAAATCGCAAATATGCTCAAAATCACTCTAATATTAGGTTCGACTGTGCCGACCATAGTGATAAAATTCACATTAAAGTAAGTCATGGACATTCTTTGAAGTGTTTACTATGATATTTCAAAAAGAAAAAAAAATGCTCGATTTATAAAACTGCATAATTTTGATTTAAAACTGATCATGTTTGAAGCTTTATTTTATCCGTACCATTTGCTGTCTCTTACTGCGGTCTCTCTCGGATTGGGGTATAACACCCACCGAACGTTCTTGGACCGATGGGATAATTTATTACTTCCGACATCTTTTCAGTGACAAATTTAATCTTTGCATAAATTTACTTCAGTGAAGTTAGTGAACTCGTTGTGACCATTGAAATGTATAAAGAGTAAATTTTGAAATGGGACAAAAGTCGAAGATTCCACTTTCAAAGCCACGAAAAAGTCGAAAAAACTTTTATCAGAATTATTATATCAAAAACCTACTAAAACTACAGACAAAAAATGCAGTTTAGTGATCATTTGATTAGTTTTACTATTATTATGCTTTTATTTCCTAATTTCTGTACATATAAATATTATTGTTTTTTAGACCCGCCGCTGTTTTTATACACTTACATAAAGTGTAAGTCAATGTTACTAATAGAAATTTTGTTATTGTTACTTTATATAATCACCAACCCTATTGCTTTTCGGCTTTTTGTCAAAGATCAAAGTGTATTACCTGGAAGAACTTTATTTTGTTTAATAAAAGATTACCATAAACCTTATAATTAGCCGGATAACCATTCAGTATACACAGGTAGTTTCTATACCTCTTTAGTTTGAACTTAGCCGATACTAACCAGCTAGGGAACCAGTTATAATTGAAATATGTAAACCAAATAGTTGAAGTACTTTGTTTTAAGCAAAATAATTAGGTATATTTATAAATACGCATAAATAAAAACGAAACAAATTATTGGTCTCTAGTTTATTTTATAATTTGCATTACATCATGACGTATAGGTACGTACTGATGCAGAAATTGGTGATTTTCTTGTTGCATTTCAGTATAGGGACACACTCAGTAGAACCATTTGGACACTTAAAATTCATTTTGTTTTACTTGCCACAAATCTTTTTAAGTGTTGCGAAAGTGATTATTTTGTGTCCGAAAAATAACTGGATTTATAATTTTTCGGCTGAGTGCTTTTTTGTTCTAAATCAATCAGTTTTCCAATTAGATTATAATTGCTTGGACTTACTATTTGTTGTCTTAATTTTTCGAAGTTCATTTTTGTACACATTCAGATTTTTATTTCTTATTAATTTCTTGTGGTCATTTTTATAAATTCGTATATGAAAATTGAACTGTTGACGAACGAAAATCGAACAATAATACACGACAAGCGGGTGCCGAATTGTTACCAGAGATTATGGGTGTCATAAATTACACCCCAGCTTTCCTGCGTTTTAACCAGCTTACCACTACTTCTCGTCTTTATTTTTCTACACGTAAACTTCTTGTGAAGACAATAACACGGCAAAATTAAAAATCCGACAGTTTTCTTTTAGCAAACATCCCCTTAATCCTATATTCCCATATCTACCCCGAAGTGAAAAATTATATATCAAAGTATCAGCATGGTTTTTTAAATTATAGATCAACAACAACTAACCTCATAATGTTCTCACAATTTGTATCTGAAAGTTTGGAAAATCAATCACAAGTCGATGTCATCTATACGGATTTTACAAAGGCATTTGATCGTATTGACCACAATATTCTTCTTAAAAAACTTGTAAATTTTGGTTTCACTTGTAAATTATTAAACCTTTTTCGATCTTATCTTACTCTCCGTACTCAATTTGTGCAGTATAACAACTTTGTATCTTATTCTTTTATTGCTAGCTCAGGAGTTCCTCAAGGATCTATATTAGGGCCACTTCTCTTTAATTTATACATAAATGATCTACCTTCCAGCATACACTGTTCAATTTTGTTATTTGCAGATGACGCGAAAATATTTCATAATATTAACTCATTAGCTGATGCTATCTTTCTTCAAAAAAACTTAACCAGGCTCTATGAGTGGTGCATCAGCAATAAATTTAAATTGAGCCTTCCTAAATGCAAAATTATTTCATTTACTCGAAAAAACAACATTATTACTTATGATTATGAAATAGATCAAAGCATACTCCCGCGATATAACACTGTTAAAGACTTAGGTATATACTTTGATAAGGCTTTTCGATTTGATCAACATTATTTTAATATTATTTCATCCTGTAATCGGACGCTGGGTTTTATTATACGTAATAGTAAATCTTTCTATAATACTGACTGCCTCGTCGCCTTATACAGAACACTTATTTTGAGCAAGCTTGAATATGCTTCCATTGTGTGGTATTCTATATATCAAACCTACAATGTCATAATTGAAAACATCCAACGTAAATTCCTAAAATACTTATTCTTAAAATCTCATAAAGTTATAGAGGATATAACCACGATCTTCTCCTAGATGAATTTAAGTTTATCCCTGTTTTAGTAAAGCGTCAAACTAATGTTCTACTTCTATTATATAAATTACTTCACTCCCAATTGGATATACCTCAAATGCTTGAAAAAATGAACTTTTTGGTCCCACGAATATACGCCAGACATCATTCAACTTTCACCTACAATATCCCCAGGACAAATATGATTGTTAGATCCCCGCTATACCTGATGTCATCTTTATATAATGAAGTTTGTAATGATGTTGACATATTTCATTTGAGATATTCAACGTTTAAAAAATGTGTTGAAAGATTTTTTTTTTTTGAAAAAGTAGGTAATATTTAGTAATTCATTAATTTTTGTATTAATTTAGTATTAGTTTAGCCAATAAATAACACAGGCCTGCGAAATATAACTTTTAAATTCCCTTTTAAATAATATTGTTTTTTTTTAGGTATTTATGTATGCCGAATTAAAATATAACTCTAGTTTTTTTGTAGCACATCGAGATTTATTTTTATGTAGGCCTAAATATTCATAGGTTTTCAAACAATTTTAATGAAAAAATAAAATATAAAGAATATAAAATTGAATGTTTATTTATTAAATGAACTAAATTAGTCATAAATAAGACTTAAAAAAACAAATAAATCAAGAAGCTTCTTTTTTTCTTTCTTCAAAGCTCTGATTTAAGCGTTTTCTCTTGTATTCACGATAGGATATGTTATTGCTGTTACATTTTTCGTATTATATCATTTTATATTTGAACAGCAAAAGTAACAATCGTCTGTATGATTTTGTGGCTCCATCCAAATCATTGGTGTCAGCAAACTTATCTGAAGAATTAACCCATTTCCGAGAAGTCATTAGTAATTTTTGTTTAAATTCAGGGTAATAAGCGCATAGTCGACACAAATAACTCTTACTAAGCTGAACACGAAATGAAATATCAACACCATTATCCATACTTATTATTACCACAAAATCTAGAAGTTAATTTTTATAGTACTAAGAACAAAACTGAAAAAAATATTTTTTGCAGAAACTGTACGTGATAGAAATTTTTGCAATTTTTTTTTATACATGAGTGTCTAAGACCTGCCAAAATTACTACTTGATTTTGTTAGGGGAAAACCATCGCAGGCCTGTGTAATCTATCGTTTCGTAGTTTATTTTTCTTTTTATTTAGTTCTTTTTTTACATACAATTGTTCTTTTAAGTTGTACCTGTAATTGGTGTATTTTACACTGTTGGGCAATAAAGACATTATTATTATTATTATTATTAATTTTGGATTACCGTTGTTTGCGCCGGCCGCTTTTCTTGATTCATTATTTATTATTGTTGTGTATTTTTTGTTTGAATATGTGGTGATTGTCGTATTTGGTTTCAGGGATGACGGGTAATTAAAGATGGCATCTCCGACTCCTTCGATTGAATCATTACCACGAGCAAACTCGATTGGATCGTTCGGTGACCAAGCAGACTACCTGTCCCTGTCTCCCCTGGAGGACTCCCCCTTGTCAGTGAGCGGTTCGTCACCACCAGTCAGCGATTCCGTCGACCGAGACAGCGACCCCTCCGAGCTCCATTGCCAGCAGTGCCGCGAGCCCGTGGCCGACCCCAAGCTGTTGGCCTGCTTCCACACCTTCTGCACCCCGTGTCTCGAGAAGAACAAGCTCATCTGCCCCCGGTGCAACTCGGAGTCGATCGAGGGCATCCTCAACAGCCTGTTGTTCAGCTCGGAGTCGACGAGCGAGTCGTTCCACCCGACGGTCCGTTGCACCGGCTGCAAGACCAAGAAACTAGACGCGGTCGCCCGCTGCGTCGATTGTGCCAATTATCTGTGCCCGAACTGCGTCATGGCTCACCAGTTCATGCACTGCTTCGAAGGCCATCGAGTCGTCAACCTGAACGAAATGAAAGAAGAATCCAAGAACGGCCTCATCTCGAATTCGACGATCACGAACGGCGAAAAGAACACGGTGTGTCCGCGACACAAAGGCGAGCTCCTGAAGTACTTTTGTCGCACGTGCACGATCCCGATATGCAAGGAGTGCTTGAACCTGGAGCACCCCGCCGGTATTCACGAATACGAACATATCAGCGAGGCGGCGCCGAAGCAGGTCGAGGCCATCCAGCACGCAGTGCAAGAGGCCAAAACCAAAGCGACGGACATGCGCAACATAATGAAGAACGTCGAACACGTATCCAGCCGCCTCCAGGTGCAATACCACAAAGCCCAAAACGAAATCAACGACACGTTCATGTTCTACAGGTCGATGCTGGAGGAGCGGAAGCAGGAGCTGCTCAAGGAGCTCGAGAGCGTGTTCTCGGCCAAGCAGATCTCGCTCGGCGTGGCCTCGCAGAAGGCCCAGGAGACGGTCGATCAAATCTACAAAACGTGCGAATTCGTCGAGAGACTGAACAAATGCGCGACCATTGTTGAAATTTTAATGATTAGGAAATTGTTAGACACGAAATTGCAAGGCCTTTTGAGTTATAACGTAGACCAGAGCGTGCAGTCGGCGTGCGAACTGGAGTTCGTCTCGAATTACCAAGCGATCCAGGTGGGCGTCCGCAACACGTTCGGGTACGTGCGGTCCAACTCCGAGGCGGTGGTGGGGCCGAGCAAGCAGCCGCCCATCGCCCGCCCCACCGGCGGCGGCTCGAGCTCGAGCGGCAGCAGCGTGAACGGGAGCTCGGGCAGCCTGAACGGCGGCATCCACTGCCCCTTCACCATCTCGGGCTCCAGCCAGTCCACCTCGCCCTTCGAATCCAACATAATCAGCAAGAGATTCAGCAGTGCCAACAGCCTGGGGCCGTTCTCGACGACGATCGGCGATCTGAACCTGAACGGGATCAACCCGTACGAGAAGTGGTCGAACGGCGGCACCGACACCATGTTCCAGAACGGCACCCCCGACCCCTACTCGCTCACGAGCGCCGGCCACGCCGACCCCATGCTCGACCTCACGTCGAAGCTGATGTCCTCGGCCATCTTCCCCCCCAAGTCGCAGATCAAGCGCCAGAAGATGATCTACCACTGCAAGTTCGGCGAGTTCGGCGTGATGGAGGGCCAGTTCACCGAGCCGAGCGGCGTGGCGGTGAACGCGCAGAACGACATCATCGTCGCCGACACGAACAACCACCGCATCCAGATCTTCGACAAGGAGGGCCGCTTCAAGTTCCAGTTCGGCGAGTGCGGCAAGCGCGACGGGCAGCTCTTATACCCGAACCGCGTGGCCGTGGTGCGCACCTCGGGCGACATCATCGTGACCGAGCGCTCCCCCACACACCAGATCCAGATCTACAACCAGTACGGACAGTTCGTGCGCAAGTTCGGGGCCAACATCCTGCAGCACCCGCGCGGCGTCACCGTCGACAACAAGGGCCGCATCGTCGTGGTCGAGTGCAAGGTGATGCGCGTGATCATCTTCGACCAGACCGGGACGGTGCTGCAGAAGTTCGGCTGCTCGAAGCACCTCGAGTTCCCGAACGGCGTGGTCGTCAACGACAAGCAGGAGATCTTCATCAGCGACAACCGCGCGCACTGCGTCAAGGTGTTCAGCTACGAGGGGGTGTACTTGCGCCAGATCGGTGGTGAAGGCATCACCAACTATCCGATCGGGGTCGGGATCAACGCCAACGGAGAGATTTTGATCGCGGACAACCACAACAACTTCAACCTGACGATCTTCACCCAGGAGGGCCAGCTGGTGTCGGCGCTCGAGAGCAAGGTCAAGCACGCGCAGTGCTTCGACGTGGCGCTGATGGACGACGGCTCCGTCGTGCTCGCCAGCAAGGACTACCGCTTGTACATCTACCGTTACGTGCAGGTGCCCCCCATCGGCCTGTAGACGGACGGGAGCGTCACGAGACAGGGTCTCCAGCAGCCGTTCCCGACACCTTTTTGTTGATGCATTTTTGAGCGAAGCGTTCGGATTGCTGGTCTGTTATTGTATTTATCAATTTAGAAATTTAGAGTTTGTCCAAAATTGTAACGATGTGCAGTCGTCATAGTTTTGTATTGTACTTCACAATGTTGATATTTTTTATTGATAGTATGTACGATATTTGACGATGCGTTTGAGACAGGAAGCCTGCCTGCTCCTTCCGGGGAGCGCGGCCCGTCACCCGTGTTGAATGACCAATTCTATCACTAATTAAAAACAGGGATATTATAATTCACATTTAGAAATGTTAAAAGAAAAAATAATAACCAAGCAGCATTGCGGTGCCTGGGCCATTGTTGTATTTAAGTCGAGCATCAATTTCCGATACGATATGATGATCTATTTTAATATGCGTGTATGATGTTGTGTATGTCCTTTAGTATAGCGCGTTGTTGTTTGCGGGATGCCGCGTTGTTAGCGACCCTAGTCACCCACGAACTGTACTTGTAGTAGCAGTTTCTTCTATTATTATTATTATTGATTTTTTTTATTATATGCCCCCACCCACCCACCCATTTTTGTATTTTTTTTTTGTATTATTATTTTTTTTTTATTTACTACTACCGTGCTTTGTTCGACACCGTAGCGTGCCGTGCCCCCAACTTCCAGTCGCTCGGGCGTTGTTTATTTTTAGTTTTGTTATCAATTTATGAATAGTGGTATTAATACACCATATCTCTATTAAGTTAGTAAAGAAACGAAGCAACGTAGGAAGAATTGCAACTCTCCGTGTGGTGCATGCAATATACTTCTCTCTTCCTCCTGATTTTTTTTTTTTTATTATTATTATGAGTTAGTCGTAGCAGTAGAAATATATTTGTTTGTTGATGCTGCCGAGTTTAAGATAGTGACGCGGGCCGCACGAGCATGCGTGCGGCGGCCGCCGCCGCAGGCGCGCCCTACAAGACTATTTACTTAGTAGCTAGGGTTTTATTTTAGTTAGAGATGGTGAGGGCGAGCGGGCGGATGGCGTCGCCGTCGTCGTCGTCGCCACCCGTATCTCTTTGTGTTTTTTTTTTCTGTCTGTCTCTCTCTACGTGATCGCGACGCCCCGCGCCCGCCCCGCCCCGTTCCGTATTATTATTTATATTATTATTATTATATTGTTGTTTTTTGAAACCGGAGGCGATGATCGCAGAACACGGGGGCTGAGCGATCTCAATCCCACTATTTACCAGCAGTCCCGTGACTACGCCGCGCCGCCCTCGCCCGGTCGCCGAATTGTTGCCTCTCGGTGCCCCGCCGACAAGTGTTATATATGTTGTTTTTAATGTCTTGTTCAGAGTACGCTCTATTTTTTCTATTGTTCCTGAGACGTCCTCGGCGAGGCACCGCGAGAACGGCCGGCGCGCCCGACCAGACCAGGGCGGCCACGGCGCCCCAAATGTATTACTAGAATTTTTTTAAACTTGTTGTTATTATTATTATTATCTTAATTTTAATGGTAAAATTGTTCTTAAATTAAATGTACATTGTTTTGTTTTCTTTGATTTTTTTTGTTGTAAATGCTTTTTAATTAATAATACCAATTCTTGCAGTTTTCAGTTATTTTTATTTTGTTTTATTTTTCTCTGTCGTTTCTCTCTCTCTCTTGAGTAATGCGCTGTTGGAGATTGCCCACCTAGTCCTAGTCCTTCACCGCCCCGAGTGATCACCGCTTCGAGCACGGCACGGCTGTTGATTGATACACGGCCCCCTTTCATCATCATCTTCTTCTACTTCTTCTTCTTTACTACTACTATTACTGTACTGTAACTTTTATACTTAGAACGTAAGCGATGATATTAATGTATTCCTGCGGGAGCAGCTTGTGTACGTTATTTATGATAAACAAAAAAAACTATTGATATTGAACAATCTTCCTGGGCCCAACTAAGCAGATCCTATATAGGTATAGATATATAGGCATGTGTGATTTTTTTCTTATCATATAGTCACTAGTATTAGTAGCTACGTAGTTATACTTTGAAATGATTTGTAGGCAGTCTCGCTAGAGAGGCTCGCGTTGTGTGAGTTAAGCGTATTATAAAGATAAAACAAGATTTAAAAAAGCATTTTCGGTAAGACTGATTCAACAACACATTTCTTCTGGTAACGAACTTAGTGATACGCAGATGCAATAGTCCTCCGGAGCGGGGGGCGGCCGCCCGCCTTTCCAGCAAGATGCGCACAATGGGCCGGCCACCGCCGCTCAGGGGCCTGTCACTTGAATATGTTGCGTTTACCTTCATGTCAATTACTCTAGGGAACATTACTCTATTTTATCCACGTGGAGTGTGTACATATGTAGTGTCGTCTCCTCCGGTTCAGCACACCACAAACCGCACACCGCCATCACCGAACAACTCCCGCCTCACCGCTCCCGAGTGTGTCTGTCTGTCTGTCTCTCCGTCGTTCTACGGTACACTCAATCCGGCACCGGGTAACTATTTCGGGTAAGCGGCATTTTTTATCGCTCTAGTCGGACGCCGTTTTTTGAGGCCGGATTGATTGAACTCTGCCCCCACTTCGTTGTTTGGCCGCTCCAGGCCGCACTCACATTCCCGTCGCACAATCTCTTGTTATTCGCTGCATGAGTTGTTCCAGATTATAAATTTTTATACATTTTGCTCATGTTGTAGATTGTTGTTGTGCACTGTTAATTAATAATGAGCCACGCCGCAGAGTCCACACTTCCGAGCACCCATTCCCGGTATTGCGCTCGAACAGAACCTCTTAACAGACTGTGATTATCGGAAATGCCTTCCCCAACTCCCGATGTTATTATCACTTGCACCACCACCTGCACGGCCGGCGCCGCCCCCACTGGCGGAAGTCGTCGGGGACGGCGCGGCCGGTCCGTAAGTCAAAGCGTACGCTCTTCCACCACACTTCTTCGTTAAAGTACGAACACCAAAGCATTGTACGTGTTGTACTGTATAAAGGATTACAAAAACTTGTACTGACTGTACTGATCACACCAATTCTCCTTGCTTTTGGCTGGAACCCGCGGACCAAAGCTCGCGCGGACCGACCAAACGTAGCTGCTTACGTCGTATCTAGTCTAGTCGTTTTATATCAAAAACAAAATGATATATTGTATTTTTATGTGCTTTGTACGTCCTTATTATGGTTGTATTGAAACTGCGACGTATGTCTCTCTCTTTGATAAGTAGTAGTGTGTAGGTATTTGTTAGGACTGACCGAGTTTATCACATTTACGCTAAGGTTATTGTAACAATACGAGTATTATATTGAGTGTTTTCTTGTTGTGAGGCCGCACATTCCACGGCGCCCGCGCCTGTTGCGGCTCTCGGGAGTCCCACTCGAGAGTCCCCACCCCCGAGAGTCTCGCGGGAGCCCCGGACGCCGCCACCTAGCATAGCCGCTTTGTCCGTCATCATCGTTCCTGCCATAGGTCGCGCAGACAAATCGCAGATACTCTATATTTGATAGCAATAGTGCGTGTTATATATCTGTGTAGTGTGTTGTGTTGGCCACGTGACACATATCGCCGCCGCCGACCGTCGTGTTACCCACCACCCCCGATAATGTGCTTCTCTCCGCCGCCGCCGCTTGCTTCTCCGTGTCTCGTGCGTGTTATTAAACGTAGGATATTTAATTAGTAGTCGCGAGCTGTCCGCGCCTAAGCTTTTGCTCTTCTCTCAACTGTAAGACTGATGCGTTGTAGTAGGTACTTATATTTGCAAAATTGAATCAAGGCAATATATATTGTGAGTAATATATATTTTTGAGCTATGTTTGTTACTAACATAATCAATCAACTCGACGAGCGGGTGTAAATTTAGCCAAAAAAACACAAAAATCGACTAGTACGGTCAAGCCGGCAACTCGTTTCGGTTGCGCAGAGAGCCGCAACACCGCTCGATACGTGACGCTATAGATACATTTTTTTGAATTTGAGCGAAAACCGAGTTGCCGGATTGGCCGGACTAACCACAAAAAAATAAATGAGCGTGTTCGTTGACGCAGTAGTGGCCTCAACCGCCGCTTGGCCTAGTCTGTGCATGCGCCCCCGCACCCCCACACCAAGTGCACCTCACTCGTTTATTGCGGCAGTGGACAATAACGTTACTCCACTTGTTGGCAACTACTCTATTCCAAAGTATTTTCAAAGTTGTTAAATCAAAATGTTACGAAGATAAAATTAAGGTGTTCTTCTCGGTTGAAGTTTTCTTTGGAACTCGACACATTCCGAACAGATGGTTTATTTTGTATATGATCGTTAATATTAAAATGAGAAAAATCATTAATTAGTGTGTGAATGTCACTCGATTATTATGGAGCACATTATCTGGCTAAAGCATTACATGTATACACTGTTGGTCCTGTTACAAGAATATCTTGATAATTTATATGTTGTAATGATAAAGTATTTTTAAAAATCGAAAAAAAAAATGAGACCGTTGTGAGGTCGGCGTACCCTCGTCGACTGTATTATTTGATTATTTGTCTGTTTCTTTTATTGTCGGAAGTTTCTATTTTTCATAGGACAGTTTCTTGTTATTATATAAACTAAGTGTGCCTAGTCAATAGAGTTCAGGTCAATTTTACGAAGTAATTAATATTAAAAACAATGTTGTGCAGTTCCATCGATATTATTAAGAAAAATGAAACTTGTTTTTATTTTGATTCATTAAGAGCAGCGAACAACGTTTGACCTAAACCGACAAAGATTTTGTGAGGGGCGATGCTGTGCTGGTCGCGGTCACTTTTTGCACCCCCCCAGCACCGCAGGCGCTCCCGACGCATGTTCAGCCTCGTCGTTATGAACTTTATAATTTATTATCATTTAGTCAGTCTACTCTAACCGAGTACGATATTTGATGATTAAGTCATATCAGTTTGTTACAAGCGTGTATTATTGCAGTGGTGTATCTAATAAAGCATTTCGTTTGCTTGAAACCATACTAACTTATTTGTAGACTCGAATCGATCCTCACATCATTCTCCCACCTCCCATGTCGTGGTGTAGTAGCCGAACCTAACAGTAGATGGCACCCTCGTTACTAATCTGGTTAATCTGGACATGATCGTAGACGTACCTAAACACTCTTAACAAAAATACGATACACAGTTTGCTCCCGAAAAAGTTCGCTCCAGTTGTAGATCGTGAGAGGGGTAAGTGATTTTATCGGTCGCTGGAAGCCGAAGGACAGAGTGAGAAAATCCGAGTTAGTTTAAGGCGTTATAGTCACACTTAGAGGAAATAACGTGTAAGTGATGACGACTGCCGAGTATCTTGGATAAAAGATACGCTTTCTTTCACACATCCTTTAAGAGTGGCGTTAGTGGAATCTGCCGATGTGTTGTTAACGTTAAGACAGTCATTGTTGTAGTATCAATAAAAAAGAACTCTCAAAATCCTCACTTCATTCAACCTTGCTTCTCTGAATCCGCTTAGTACACAAGCTTTCAACAAAATCACGAGGTAAGTACGAATACGTCATGAGAAAATTGTGAGTGCAACCGTGCCTAAAACGCTCACTTTACACATTATTGCACTCAAAAAGTATTGAAGTAGTAAAGCTGCTGACAAGGACATAGTGTCAAGGTAAGTGCGTATACAACGACATAGTCAACGATAACGTAATCTCAAGTACTACGTGTTACATGCAGCGTTTTTATCCAACCAGAATTTACAAAAAACTTCCGTCAGATTTGTATTCGAAGAATATGTGTTGTAAATAAATTGTCACGAAGTTTAAGGGGACTCGCTAGACGAGGTATAACATTTTTTTGGTTTTTTGTATTTCAATTTGGTCTAAATTCAAAGATAATTTTCTCTTTGGCTGTCACGAAATAATGTTTCTACATCCATGACAGGATTTTTTAAAAATATTTAAACCATAATCGCAGTCGGGACCAGCATACCTAAATTTTTCTACGACATATTTTTTTGTTATTAAACCAGGACCGTTTTAATCAGAATATATTTACTTATCCCCTCTAAAAAAATGATGACGTCACCTCAAAATTTTGCTGAATAAATCCTATCTAAATTGTATAAAATATGATGAGTCTCTTCTTGTGATTTATCATTCCATTCATGTTTTTTGGATTTGCATATACAAGATGACCCCAAAAATTAATGAATGCGTAAATTTATTTTATTGATTTAATCAGGAACTACAGAACCCAATGCTTTGAAATCTTGCAAATGTTTTAAGGTTATAAAGAGCATAATAAATTTTTAGTCAAAATATGTTTGCTTATCCCCTCCAAAAAATTGATGACGTCAGCTCAAAAGTTTGCCGTATAATCTTAGTTAAAACTTACAAAATATGATGAGTCTCTTCTTGTAATTTATCATTCCATTCATATTTTTTGGATTCGGATATACAGGGTGACTCAAAAAATTTAATGAATGCGCAAATTTATTTTATTGATTTAATCAGGAACTACAAAACCGAATGCTTTGAACTCTAATGTGAAAAAAAAAACATAATTGGCATGCAGTCGTCACGTTTCCGATAGCGAGGGAAGTACAGTCTAAACTCTTTAGACCAAATTTTTTGGGTTTCCCATTTTTCCATTTCTCAATTTTT